CCTTGTAAGAGCTCAAGGTGTCATGTAATTTGTTCTTTGGAGCAGCTGAAGGGCTCTGATGCGTCGGTTGGATATAGGGAACAAGCCTCAGATGTGGCAAATATGACTATACCACTTCTAATTTTGTAGATATTATCATTTGAAATTCCTGTTTCCACCTCCGAATCTCTCTTTTCTTTCTACTAACGCAACCATTACTTCTCACTTCCTCTCATATCTCTATTTCTGTCGTTGCATTGCACCTCACCTCTGCCTATCACTTTTCACACTGATACTGTGCATCACATCCTCACACCTTCGTACTTGTGATGTGCCCGTATGGACTGTGAATCTCAAAGGGAAACGGAAGAGCATTAATTTAAAGGCATGTGATTACGCAGGAATACATTCTTCTGTTCAGATTGATCCCACATTACATCAAGCAATATGTGTAGATCTATGACATTTATGAGTGTTTGTTTGTCCGTTTGTAATTGCGTGTGTGTGTGAATGTGTAATTAGAAAAAAAAGATCTGTGTAGTGTGAAGCAATCTGTCGCTCCACACAGGCTGAGAGTGTGAGCTATAATCTGCCGTGATGACGCCGATCACAGCCTGTGAATGGAGGTGCTGCGGGACAATGCTCAACCGCTCTGTGCCGGTGTGCCATTACAGAGATGACATCATTCCACTGCAGCACTTAGCGCGCAGCACACACACACACACACACACACACACACACACACACTATCAATTACGACTGCTCAGTTCTCAGGTCTCCCCCTACTGTCTTGGATTCGTCCTCGTGTGGGCAGCAGCAGCAATTAGTATGTGTGTTTCTGGGTGTTTGTGTGCGTGTGCGAAGCAGGAGTTCAGATAAGGTATAGACATCAGGCGAGCTATCGAGATTAACAGAAGCCCTACCACATCCATCAGCTGGGTAGTGTCAGAGCTGGGGGATGGGGAGCCCACTAATGGCCATATCTGAACGGATCCATCACATCTCCATCTTGTTTACACTTTAAACCCCCCACCACATATTGATGAGTCACTTTTCATTAGCCAGTCAGTGCATTTGTGCCTGGCATCGTGTGTCTCCATTTGGGCGCTTATGTGTTTATGGGGAAAAGCTAGAGATTAACAATAGATAAATAGATGGATGGTAGAAAAATACAACATTATTGCGTGTCCACCCACATCCTGCATGTCAATTATTACTCTGTATTTAGCTGTTTTATCTTCATGTCACCCAACCTGTCATTATGACTAATATCCAATGAAGCCACAGTGACTCCTCACCCTCCAGTCTGGTCAGGGAGTCTGGGTGCGTCTCAAGTTATTATGCCTTTTTTTAAGCCTTTTGTTAAGGTTCAAGCTTGTTTTGGTCTCAGGTTTGCTATACCTATTATTTGATATGGTTAAACTCAAAGCTGGGACCCATTGGTGAACTGACTGGGGATAAACGACAGACTTTAGTCGAAGGTCATGAGAGGATGAGTGGTGGATTAATTACAAGATATCATTGGACTTAATATGGCCGTACACAAGCAAGAGAGACCATTTTAAACTTTATTTTTTTTTTTACATTTTCTTAAATCTTTTTGTTGTTGAGGTTTTTTGATAAACACAAACTGTTAAATCCTGAAAGATCACCTCACTGAATGGTTGAAGAAGATTTATTCTTTGAGCATTCTGATGCATCAAGTGTAAACCGTATAAGTCTGTTTGGCATTTTATTTGCTGCTATCTACTTCTGCATATTGTGTGCTGAGCACCGCCCAAGACACACGACCACAACTTGCTATCTCGTCAGGTGATAGCACGTGGTCTTTTGTGGAGATGAAACTATGACTCACACTCTTGGATAACATTATAAAAGACATCACCTGGTGAGTTACACCATAGCTCAGGACGTCATTAACCTGATTCCAGACTTCTGAATCACCATGTCATAGATTTGCTCCACGAGTCAAATAGGCCATTGTTGTGTTATTGTTAGCTGTTTCAACGATGAGGAAAATAATTGACTAAACGTGAGTTCGAAAGGGGGGATTAACAACTGGTTGATGACTCAAGAAAAAATCAGTATCGGCAATGACTTCTTCAGCTGAGACATCGAATGAAACAACGCACACTCAAATGATTTGTATATGCTACATTATCATTACAGTGAATGTCTGGCAAACACAATGCTGTCCTGTATTGAAGATACACAGAAGTTTGTTCGCATCTTTGTTTCATTCTTCCAAGGACTTTAAGGCTTTCGGTGTGACTCAGCTGTAGGTGTGTACATGCTGACACTGAGAACAATAAATAAACAAAAGACCCACGTGTGATTTGGTAATCACAAGGCACTCAAAGAATGTACTTAAAGGAACAAACCACTCCCTTTTTAGGTATAATTACACATCCCAATCTGACACCGCATAGTCACAGATAAATGAAAGGCCCAATTTAAACACCTGTTAACAAATGCACTCAAACAACATGTCCAAGTGTTAGTTCCTGATAGGTTTACACTGCGAAGACATTGGTTATACACAATGTGAACAATAAATACACATACACCCTCCAACAGTTCACAAGCGCACATTATACGCCCAGTCACTTGAGCACCTCTGAACACTTCTTATTTGAATTAACCCTGACTTGATTTGTGGTTAATTGCCTCCTTTATAAAAAGATGACATTTAGAAAATAGGAGCCAATAAGACAACAGACAGACAGTACGAACAGACAACAGATTTGAGCCTTTTTTGTTGTGTTTAGAGGAATCCTCAGCCACAAAATCACAATGTAAATATCAAATACTCAACCTGTGAAATATGAAATTCTTGTAGACAACTTGTTTGTCCCTGCTTGCCTCCACACAGTGAACAAACACATTCAAAACTGAGATAGTCCTGGTGAATTGAAGTAAATTAGGGTCGTGGTTTAAAGGTACAATGGGTAGATACGAGTCACCAGCTACAGTATTATATACAGGGGCAGTATTTCACCTGTTCCACTGGGTCTAATCTAAATGTACAGTCAAAAGTTAAAAAATAAAGCCAACTATATTATTTTCTAGTATTAGTTTGGTATATTTATTGTGTAAGTATTAAATATTGTATTCTATAGCTATATAGCTTACTTCGAGTGGTTACTCTTCTATTTATTGAATGTGTACAGTCTGTTTGTCTGTCTTTCTTAGCGTGTAAATACAGGTGTTGATATGGTTTTGTTGCTAGTATTTTTCTAATTCATTTCATCAAGACTTTTCTCGTTTTTTTGTCTTCTCGTAAAAAGGACTTCAAACTTTCACAGCCTAATAATTGATATATTAATCGTCATTTGTGGATGAAATAACTTCAAGAAGACAGGAGCATATACCTTTGTAATGCCCTATACAAAATGAAAACTTATAGAGAATAAAACAAATATTTAGTCATATTAATGCCAACCCATTACCATGCTGGGATAGAGCAGACCTTAAATCTGGATGTAGATGGTATGAAATAGGTAGAAACAAAAATGCAGACCAACCCTGACTTCAGTGACCTCATGTGTGACTGGTGTGACTGCAGCCATGCCAGACATGCAGTCAGTCAGGTGACCAGCTGACTGGGAACCGCTGTTGAAATGTGGCTTTGGTATTTGTAGGTGTGGTGAGCCTGTTCTCAGTCATAAAGCCTGCTTTAATGTTTCTGAGTTTTGCAGTAAACCCTGAGCTTTGGGATTATCTCTATGGAAGAGCACATTGGATTTCCCCCCCCAATTCCTTTATGCTTTCTAAAATGTCTCCTCTTCATGAAAGAGTGCTTTAAGATATCAAGTTAACAGAAAGGGCTTTGTGTTTGTTTGAGGTTCTTTTGTATATTTGAGGACAAAATGAAAGGGCCACATTGGTAGACCGAAAGCACCTGATGCATGTCCTGGGTTCGGCAACAATGACAGTGCGGTTATAAAGGTACCATACTGTGTGTGACAACACAGCTTGGGTTTCACAAATCATTCAGGCTGGCTTTACTCTGACAAAGACCAAAATGTATACAGAGTGGTCTGTAATTGTATTTCCATATAGTGGAGCATTAAACGTGGGTGGTTGCAGAGGCTCAAACTATACTTTTTAACAAGTTAATGTGTTTCAGAAAAACAGACGTATGACATATTTTGATAATAAGAGCAGAGTGGCCTGGCAAGGTTCTGTTGAATGTTTTTATATATTTATATAATGTCACTTATTTAGACATGCAAGTGACCCCCATCTGTGAGTGTTCCCCCTCTCCCTTTTTATGTTACGCAACCACAGAAGAAAAGCACCCAGCCCAGTGTCAGGTATCAAGGGTTGCTGTACGTCTGCTCTCATTTATTGCAGCCTCACAAAAAACAAACATTGTGCAAGAGGACTTCCAGGAACTTTAGGAACACAGAGTTGTTTTGCTGTTCAGACTGACATGCGAAAGAGATTCATCTCCTGGAGGGAGTATGAGGTTAAATGTGTTCACGCACAAGTGCTCACACTCGCACTGTTTTGGAAAACACTTGGCAGGATAACTTGTGAATTAACAGCACATGTAAGGCAGGCAAGCGCTGTAACTTTTTCCTTGCCTCGCAGAAAATTCCTCTCATGGTTATATGAGCTGTTAACAGCAGCCTTGTGCTTCCACAGCACTCGTGAAATGTATACCGCTAATACTTTCATATTTCTACAGCAATAAAACCATTTAAGACAAGGACATGGGTAGGGTGTGGAGCCTCACCAAGCTTTATTTACATGCGCACCATTTCTTATACAAACTAGATTACAATTCAAAATGGAATACACAGGAAAAATACCCACTAACATCAAGTCGAGAAGAAGCAAGATTAATAAAGGGCAAAGTTCAAAGGGCAAAGTTCAGAGGGTGTATGGAGGGAAGCTGGCCTGGGCCTCTAAATAAAGATGGTAAAGGTCCAAGAGGAGATGATGAAAAGGAAACGTCCACGAGGTGATTAAGGTATCTAGTGGTATGTCTCTATTTTTTTTGCTTTTCTTACTTTAAATGTGCACATGTTGTGCTGCAGGTGTGTGTGTCGGGCACAATAGGACATAATCCGTGCTTGGATGAAGCAGTAGCACTGAGTGGTTGTGTGGAAGGCCTGCTCCACTATGACTTAAGTGTAAACTATTTCCTCAAAGAGCCAAAACATTTTTCACTGAATGTTCAAAAAAGTATGGAACACCTTCCTGCGATTGAGATTTGCAGTTTATCAAGGATCAATAACCCCTCTTTAAATTAAAGGATTACAGGGTGTTCCTGGATTTACCTTGTCAGTCTTCTTTACAGGAGTGAAGTGCTCCTAATATTTAGTACAATCAGCATAGATTAATTGAAATGCTTAGCAGCTCAGGTGATGGCTCAGGATTCCCCCCTTCCAAAAGACGTGATAAATGCTCAGGAAAATTTCGGATGTGACAAGTGTGTAAGAAATTCCAGCTCGTTGTCAGGTGACACTTTAACCACTTCAAAGTTATGACCAAAACGCTCGCTGAGAGCACCAGGACGTTAACCTGCTGTACTCCACGTGGAATACAACTAGTGTGAAGCTGAGGAACGTCCGTTAACGAGGCTTTCCCTGTGCCTGCCTCGATGTACACACACTTGTAATAATAGACACATTAATGCAGGAGGATGGTGCAAGTGCTGCTCTGAAAGCCCTGATTTTAAAGATAGAAAGTGTGTGCGTTTCAGTGCTTAAACACACAGGGTTCCTTTCGATTTTACAATTTCAGTCGCAGGATGGCACCATCGGAAGGGTCTAGGGGTACAGCTAGGTCATGCACTAAACCTCAGATAGCACAAGAGGTCATTCTAGCCAACCATGCACACACTCTCCTCTGCATTGGCCTCAAAGTGATTCACACACATCTGTACACTATTATACACAGCCGGGCATACACTTCATGTCGTTACCCCAAACAGAGAAGAGATACCAGGGTGTCCAGATGCTACAACAACGGTTTTTCCTCCATTTTCTAAATCTGGTCCAACAATTTCATCGCTGGTATCAGGGTTCCCCCTCACTGGGGCGTGTAACGTTGTTCATTATTTCTTCAACTTTACCTTCAGAGGTATCACAAAATCCAAGGGTCAAGTACTACATGAGTATATAAGGACATACAGCGAGTATATATGCATTTCACACAGTTTCATAATGCATAAATACATACATGCATACAGTCGGCTGTGCTGTATGCACCATGAGGGATGGTGAGGGATTAGCACATCCTCGTGAGATTAATTCAACAGAAATAAACTCCACAGATAAACACATACACATTAACATGTTCTCAGGAAATACAGGAAGTCACCTGCAGGAGCACCAGGCATGTCCATGAGGGCATGTGTGTATGCAAGTTCAACAAGAGGAAGAAAAAAAGAAAAAGCTATGACAGCAAAACCAAAAATGACAGACCGCGTGAAGTTTTAATCCTGATGTTTATAATCCTTCTTCCTCTTCACCTTGACGGCCATAAAAGTTCACAGGTTACAAGTTCACAAACACAAAGCATTACTGTTTTTATCAAGAAATGTTAAAATACCATTAGAATGTGACTTGATGTTACTTAAACGGGAAGCCTCCCTTTTCCCCCCTGAGTGATCTTTATATATATATTTATGCATAAGAAGCCCCACAAGCTCATGACAAGAAAACAGCAGAGCTTAACACAGATCCCTGGTATTTTTTCTTCTTCTATCTATGTGTGTGCAATATATTTGTGTGAGTGCTGTGATTTGGCTGCCAGCATGTCCTACTGTTTGTTTTCAAGTAATTTGGCAATATACAGAGATAGCTTATTGTTTCACTCGAGAAATAAATGGCTTCAAGAGGAATGAGCCTGAAACCCTGCAAAAAACCCCTCCCCCCCCCCGCTGCCCCTATACAGGTTCAACCTTCGCCGTGCTACAAGTGGCTGCAGTTTTGGGCTTCTGCAGGTCGTGGGTAATAACGAAAACAAAAACGAACAAACAAAATGCACGGCTTGCTCTCAGGGCAGGATTCAACACTGTTTACATAGCACCTGTAATGGTGTGGAAATGTTCATAACCCTAGGAAACAGGTATTCATTTTGGCTACATCTTATGCAGTGATAAACGACCTCAACAGAACTCACCGGAAGTTAGGAAGTCTCAGAAAAGACTGACAAGATCTTTCCCCTTTCTTCTTAACTCTACACTGACCTGTACAAATATCCATGACAGAGATTTTCTTCAACTATTTTTTTTACAGTTAGATATACACAAAGATAGCAAATATGTTTGTAATATTCAGCTAATTTTAATATGACCCTCAGTATGCAGCATTTATTTAACTGAAGAAATTGTATTTGAACAAAACTGGAAGTGCATGGCATTGAGTTGAATTTTGTGGTCTGAAGTTTTGCAAACTGGAGAAAATTGTGTCTGTTTGTTTGGTTGTTGTTGTTTATGTGTGGCCTCTCAGTAAGAGAGATACTCTATTTCCATCTTTTCATTTCATCAGTACACCATTTCTTTTTGTAAAGACATGTATGATGCAGAAACAAGTATGATAAAAACAGAAAATCCATAAAACAAACACTGAACATTTAAAATCACTATGTGAGAACAGAGGGACATTTCTTTTTTCAACGTAACACATCCCAGGAAACCACTGGATCAGATTTACACCACATCACTTCTTGATTTTCTCACTTTAGTCTTTTTTTGTATGCAGTCAACGGAAACAACTGTACCGCGCACTCCTTCAAACTTTGCTTGATATTTTGTCCTTTTATTCAACCTGAAACCCTCTCTGATTAAGCAGTGTCTCTTTTGTATCAACAGACTGGGTGTCAAAGTAAAATTGCATAATTCTAAGATTTGTGAGTTTGACATAGCTTTTTTTGATGTTCTTGTTGTAGTTGTTGTTTCAAAGGAGTCTTTGAGGGCTGATGTGCAGTATCTCTAGAGTCTGTCGGATCGTTCAGGTTCACGGTGTGGGAGCAAAGGTAAAGCTCTCGAGAGGAAGTCTTCTGTAAACACAGGGTTCGTATTTTACGTTGTGCTGATGGCAGGTTTGGCAAAAAGGATGTTGTGTGTCTTATCTTCTCTTGCACTACACAGTTCAGACCTGTAGAGATAAAGGACGAGATGATTATGTTTGAGTATTCATACTCTGTTCTAAAGTCAAATGTTTTGTATTCGGGATGCACCGATCAGATTGGGTCTTCTTCACCAATATACTTGTTTTTTCCCCGATCTACAGTATACACAGTACTGTGTACATATACATAGTACAGTACATGCAGCGGTCATTTTTTTGGTTTTGGGAAAATGACAAAGCAAGGCAGAGTTGAAGTAGTTTAGTAAATATATGCAGAGACATGTAATTACATCAAGGGAACATTTTCTATGTGTATTCAAAAGACAACAAGTGCAGCAATGACTCTTATTATTGTTTATAACAGGAGTTCTGTGATTTCTCTTTAGGTATTGACAAACTTCTAAACAATATAGATACAATTTTCACAAGCCTAGAAAGCATGTTGGTCTATGAATGTTTCCATTTACATTACACTTTCAAGTTAGCTTACACACACATCATAATCAGTTCTGCAAACAGGCCTTATACAAAGTTTACAATTTGGAAAAAAGAGCATTTGTATGGGATCCGTTCTTGGCATTGGCAAAACCTTGACTTTAGGTTTAATCAGTGCATCCCAAAGTCCCCTTTCCCCTTTATCAAAATATGCCTTTGTACAAATACCAAATGATTTCTGAAATGCACACAACACTCGAGCATACACACCTGCTCTGCTCCTCCATGGCCTGAATCTTTCAGCTGGGTACCCAGCTCTGAGAGGTCTGCTTGGTGCTCGTGAAGTTGCCAACTCCATTCATGTTGGCCAGAGAGTCAAAGTTAAAGTCCAGACCATCAGCGTCCATCAGCTCGTTCCTGATGATGGAGTCCATATCACACTCCAGGCTGCTGTTGAACATGTCCAGGTCCAGATCTGTGGGGAAACGGTCCTGGCAGAGCCCTCCACTGCCGCTAACTGTCCCATTCAGGAAGATCGAGGTGTCGATCTGCATGGAAGAGGAACCGTTTCCTCCCAAAGGTGAGAGCAGGAGCTGCTGCTTGACATTAGCCAGAGCGTTAGCCTCGTTGGCTAAGTTAAGTCCTCCGTTCAAAGACCTCAGTGAGCTCTGGTTGTGGTTGTTACTTTGAAGTATCTCCCCTTGGCTGCCCTGAAGTCCTCCAGTCGTCCCAAAAGTCATTACGGGATCATTACGGAGCATGAGGCTACGCCGTGAGTTCTGGGAAATGACGGCGGCGGCGCTGGCCTGTGACATCAGCGGGTCAGACTGCGTCATCATAACATCGCTGTGGCTGTGGCTGTCAGAGTTGAGCAGGTCTTGTAGCGTCTGACTGCCGAAGCGTGACAGGCTAATGCTGGAGAAGGAGGTCTGCTTGTTCTCCTGGATGGTCTGCATGGGGGACGGACGCAGAGAGGAGACCGCCGTGTGGGGGCCAAAGATGGAGTTAGTGTAACCATTCACTCCCGCGTTAGGAGGAGAGGTGGTGGGGGGAGAGGTGGTGGAGGAAGGTGAGACTAGCCCAGTGGGTTTGGACCCAAAATTGAACCCTGAAGGACCATTTGGAATGGCCGGCCCTGTGACGGTTGGCACCAGGTTAATGTTATCCAGCAACTCATCCATCAGGTCATCTGTGAGTCCGTCATTCAGGTTCATTGTTCCTGTGAGGTCTGCCAGGCGGGGCAGCTCAGCCGGCACCGCCTTCCCGCCTGTTGTAATAGGAGACAGCGCTCTGCATGGGCTGGAGTAGAGCATCGGCGAGAGAGGAGGCTCGTCATCGGGCACCTCGTCTAACTCGGGGTTGGCCAGAATGGGTGAGAGGCGACCACTCACTGTGCTGGCGTTGGAATTAGTGCGGGAGCGGAAGTCTGTCCATGCGTCCAGCTCCTCGCTGCTGCGTGAGGTTGGGCTCCCGGGCCACTTTGAGAGACCCGAAGGACTGTCTCCCCCCTCGCCCGCTGCAGCCGCTGCAGCCTGCAGAGCTGCCTTCTTCTTGGCCGCACGGCCACGGGCGGACTTTGTGTACTTGTTGCTGTTGTCCATGGAAACTGCACGGCGGCGAGGAGCCTTGCCGCCCTTCCCTCCCTCCGGGTTGATCATCCACCAGGAACTCTTCCCCGTTCCTTCGTTCTGGACGCGGATGAAGCGACTGTGGAGGGAAAGATTGTGTCGGATCGAGTTCTGTAACACAAAAGAGAGACACAGAAGAGACTGTTATGAGTCAAATCTATTTGAAATAGTCACTCACAACAATTACTGGCACCAATATTGATTTGTTTTTATTCTTTCTTTCCTAATACCAATACAGAAATCAATGAATACTTCCCATTAAGTCCAAAAACACAGGTCCATAAATCACCCACTACTACTGATTCTGCAGCGATGTAAACAGTCGCTTTGGTGAGGCAAAAATCCTATTGTTTCAATTGTTCATCCACTAAATATAGACAAGTTACTCTACACATTAATGTGTAGAGCAGCACTAAGTGCTGATGTCGGCATTGTTCCCACCGTAGCTTTTGTGTTATGGGTATAAAGGAGACAACAGAGACAGTGGTCTATAATCAAGCGTCTCCTCGATTATGAATGACATATACAAAGAGCCCCTGTGTTGCTTAAGGAGCTTGTTCTGTGTCAGATCATGTGTGTTTGTGCGTGCCTGTGTGAGTCTTGTCTGGTGTATATTGATCAACTCTGAGCTCCTGCCTTGTGCAAGCCTCAAAGGCTCATTGTGGGAAACTGGTGCACATGATGGCCCCTGCTAATTATCAAGAGTTGTATTCACAACAAAGAGATGAATGTATGTACTCATTGAAAAGCCACATAACAGCTCTTAGACTGATACACTTATTTAACACTAAGTAATTCTTTAAAAATGTTCGCCTTCTTTAAGGCATGCAGATTTCTAATTATGTGACATGCTGCTGTAACGAAAACAATTTCCCAAATTTGGTACCAATAAAGTATATCTCATCTTAGAAAGGAACAGGATCTGATCTGAATAGGGATTTTAGATTGAATAAATTAAACCACACACACACACACACACACACACACACACACACACACACACACACACACACACACACACACACACACACACTTTGTGTTTGTTTCATCCGAGTGTTCCAGGGTATTCTTGAAGGCCCTGACGGTTCGCCACTGCACAAAACATGTTTGCAATGTGGAGATGTCAAATTCTGTCTTCCCTAATCCATTAGTGCATGTTAAAAGAAAGATTATATGATCAAATTGGGCTTTGTAGTTATTTAAGAGCAACTTCACTTGATCTGTAAATTACAGCCCTGCACATGAGCATCTGGAAAACCCCATGTCTACACACAAGCACACACAGAAACCACCACAACACTCAGTCTCAGCCATCTGGGAACTTAAGAAGACATCATTTCATAGTCCTTGTATGACAGCATAATGATGATAACACAAACATGCACACTAAGAATCAAACCTCATATATCAATTCACAGTTAATCTATTATCTATTTTCAAAATGCAAACATTATGAGCTTTTTAATCTGACTTTCTCTTTAAAAGAATGTGTCCGCTTCATTTTGTGCACAGCAACCTACTTAAGGCCTTGTCAAATTCAGTAGTTTGCCTTTGTCTCCTTCCATACCCTCTTCCCCTTCCGCAGTTTCTTTTGTTTCGCAAACACATTTCTCTTATAAACTTTGAGGGACTCTGGGGCTATGCGATATCCTCCCATATAAACAACCCAACCACCATCCACAACACACATGCACGCATTTTCTCTCTGTTCTCCCCCCGTGTATATTTTTACTCCATAAAACAGAACAGATATCTTGGTTTCAAACGCCAAGGGCGAAGTTTTGAGGGAATCACAATATTGTTTTCCATGAAGTAATTCCGTCTTTCCTGGACAGCAGTTTACAGATAATTTGGTCTGGATTGTTTTTCTGGTCAAAGGCAGTTCAATTAAAGAGGATAAAGACAAGCTTAAGTTACTGCTCTGAATGCTACGCTGGCGGAGTAAGAAAGTTTGCTCTCTGGGGAACCTGCGAACTTTGCTAGTGTGTGTGTGTGTGTGTGTGTGTGTGTGTGTGTGTGTGTGTGTGTGTGTGTGTGTGTGTGTGTGTGTTGAAAATAACAAAAGTTGTTTTTGCAGGACTATTTGATTTTTTGTGATCACTGCTGTTCATTAGCAGCTAACCCATAAAAAGTTGCTTTAAATCATGAATTGTTTGTGTATCTGTGTTTCCCAAGTGTGTGTGTGTGTGTGTGTATTCTGCGCAATGAGGTAAGATGAGAAGTGATACCAGGGAGACCAGTGTTTATCCTCTGCCAGCATCTCTTGAGGCATGACGTAATGCATATTCACACACACACACACACACACACACACACACACACACACACACACACACACACACACACACACACACACACACACAC